TGCACTATCCTGTGAATGCTCAGAGGTTTGATTTGCACAGGGTTAAACACTCCAATAAGCTACGTACCASTTGACAACGAGAAACAATTAAATTGCAAAGTTCTAGACATTTTCACTATCACAAGGTGAACAGATTCATTTATGSACAAATCAGAACATGAAATATAAACAGTTACTAGCATTAAAATCCAGAGAACTACACCTTGCAAAGTGACAGCAGCAGACACTATTTTATAAATACATGATTACTGACAAACTTAATACAAATTTTACACACTGAGCATTACTAGCAAAATTTTAGGAATTTACTTTAATAGACCACTTGCAATACCTCTATGAACTAGGTTCTTATTGATATGCTGAGCACTTTGTTAAAAAACATCATCTTATGAACAGCAAGCTATATATTACTACGAGTAACATAGGTATAACTATAAGAGAGGTCAGTTCCCCCAAAAAATTAAGATTAGCTTGATTTAATAGCTCAGACTTTGAGCAACTTGCAGTTAATTCCTTGTCTTTCATTTGGGTGCAATATAAAACAACAATGCTTATTTTTTACATGCACAGGAAAGTGACTGAGAAAAAAACTGATGCTTAAGCCAACCTTCAAGAGACGACAAGAGCATTAACAAGCAAATAGGGAAAACTGAACAGTGCAGAAAACAGTAGTAAATCCTAATCTTTCCCTTTTATATCACTCTCTAGATTAAATACTCGTTATAGCAGCTTCCGCAGCTCAGGGAAGGTGAGGTCACCCAGACTGTTTATCTAAAGCTGAAAGATATCATGTATGAATATCCGTTTCAGTTATATTACTTTTTCCTCCTGGAAAGATTCAAAGATAGAGCTAAATTACAATTGATTCCCAAATGACTACCATTGCTACATGAACAAATTAACATTATTCTTTTTCGCTAAATAGACACAGGGTACACAGAGTTACACATGCCACTGTATCTACAGTTGAAACTGATCTCTATTGTAGATGAAAAACAACAAAACTAACAGAAAGCACCTTTTTTCAGGAAAAAGAGTTACTCCATTCTCTGTATTACTCTCCACATTTTTGGGGTAACGGTACTAGCCACTATGTCTTGACAGTGATCTTAAAAGCAAATAGCAAAGTTTTAAAGCTGCTAGAGAGGAAACAGGYACCCCCTTTCTCAGCAGCCTTGCCACATAATCTGAATTTTAGTAACAAACCTCGTTCTCTGGCATGTTAAATCACTGCAGCATCTGTCACTGCTATGAATGGTTGATCATAAGTACCTCTGTAGTCATCTCAACGCTWTTAAGCAGATGGCAGCGCTAAATCCGAATGATGTAGTACATCTCCCTGGTGGACTTTGTTTCCATACACTACCATTATTCTACAATTCCTCCATGATAAATCTTGCGTATTCTGGAGAACATTAACAGTGAACTGACAGGGCCAATTGATTTATTGGCACCCGTTTCCCTTTGCCCTATTATTGTCTTCACAAACACTTGCATAGATCATACAGGGAGCTACTAAGGGACAAAACTACACTCTCTTAATTTGTAACAGAGTATTTCAGGGGATTAAAAATAATAGAATTTTTCTTCATACAAAAAAAGTTCAAATTAATCTACAGTTTTAAATTAAGACTCAATTCAATTYTCTCCATTTCCTCCATAGTATTCTCTGAACTTTCATAATAAAATTTCCCAGTATTAACATGAGACCATTAAAATAAATCCAAGCAAAGGATTACAGCTCAAGAGGGATCTGAGAAGTCCTTTAGGTATCAGTTAGTTTTGGTAGGTAACCAAACATGCGGGTGGAAATTGCATGCACAGAATGAATGTCAGCACCAAGTGTCACTGGAGCTAGATGGTTTGGTGGCATTTCACATGCACAAGCCATATTCTCCCCCAAGAACAACGGCACAAGCCATATTCTACCCCAAGATTGCAACCACCATGTCCAGCATACAACTGTGTGTGATAAACTACTGCATATATGTATATATATTTATATATATATATATTTATATGTAGGAGGGGTATCATTAAAGAATTACTGTCTCTGCAATGCAAAACCTCAAAAAAGCCACTCTACTGCTGTATGGCAGGATTAATTTTAGTCTTTGTGCTTCACCTTAGTTTGGTGTTCAGGGTGACTCAATGACTACAGCTTTTTAGAGTTTTCTGGACACTATTCAGGTCAAATTGTCTGGCTGCCAATCTAAAATCTGTTTTTCAAAATTTAATTTTCATTAAAACTTAATTTTCACTTTTTTCATTAAAAGTTTTTTTTTTTAAACACAAAAATACTAAACAGTCTGGTTGATGAACCATGCTAGCTGGCATTTTTATAGTTTTCATCTGTCACATCTCTACTAAAAAAATGTGAACATCACCATACAAATTCAATACAATTCTTTGAGATATCCTTTTAAATTCAATTTAACATGAAAGATAATTCTTTTAAGAGAGCAGTATTTGGAGCTTAGTGATATCATAAAAATCAATTTCAGACTAAAAAAATGTTTCAAAGTACAACTATATTCATATATATGTATATAAAGACATGCAAAGCCCTAAATACTTTACTGCACACAGAAATGCAGACTATTTTAACTCTCATATTTGAACAYATCATCCCATTCCAGGCCCTCTCAGATTAGATCATTTTGGGGAAAATATACAGGACAGAAGTCTGTGGAAAATCAAGAACAACTGGCTCCACTGTATCGTACACAGGAAACTAGTCYTGTGAATCCAAACCAAGTTCACCGAAGCTCAGGAACAGGGATTACGCATATACTTAAACTAGTATAAATAATAAGAGTTGTTTCTGTAGTTTCCTTATTAAATTGGAAGATACGTAAAAATTCATTTCTTTTTCCCCACTATGGAGGAAAATAAATTGTTTCACCTGCTAATCACTGAAGGCTGCATTTTAAATATGTAAATGTCCTMTTTGCTCAAATGTGTTTTCCTCTTGTACTTTGAGGGCAAAGCATCAAGTTGATATACAGCTGAAATTGGAATACAATTCTCTTTTCCAGAATTTGCTTCGCAGTAATGACGTTGTAATGCACCTAATGTGGTAAGTAACTCTCAGTGGTTCCAAATGACATTTTACAATATGGGCTACTATTTGATATTCAGATTCAAAAGCAGGAAAGCTGTTCTAGGTAGCTCAGATGTCTGTTTATAGTTATTACTTTGTGCCTGCCAATACAATCCTAAAATTATTTTGCCAAGCCAGTACTATGTGAAAAGAGTACGAGTGAATAGTTGTTTTTTTTTCCTTTTGCTTATGAAATGTTAAAAAAAAAAAAGCCACCAATCATTCAAGAAATAATGAATTAAAAAATCTAAATAGAGTATGAAATTATAGGTAAATTACAAAATAAAACTACACTTTATGTATTTTTACATATAATAAGGATGATGCACATTATGTACAATAATAAAAATGTCATTCCTTGGGAGATCTGCTTTTTGCTAATTTTAGTTCAAAGGTAGAAAAAAGCCTTAAAAAAAAAGGAAGTAATGTTTCTAGTTTTGGCTTGGTCTCTTTGGCTTTGTAATGAAATTCAAATGTTTCAAATGTTTGTATGTAAAATTCTGCTACAAACACTAAAAGCAGTAACACAGAGCAGAATTATCATCATAAAACTTGAGGACTATTTTGTTGATAATCTTTTTGGGAAAAATCCCTTAGCAGCTGCTCTCTGGATGCAAAATTCTATGGAGACTCATATATTGGAGGTCCTGTACTACTGGTGTCTTAGCTTATATTATTGCAAGCTTCTGAAAAGTGACAGACAAGGCTCCCAGGAGTAAAGTATCAGAAGGCAGAGTAATACCACCATCATGACCAGAAACTTCAAAGCAGTTTACAACAGGGACAACACTTCAACATTTCATTAAACTTTATCATATTAAAAAATCAGATACTACTCAATTCCATAATGATATTTCGGTTGGGTGCATCAGCTATCAAAGCATTTTGCAATTTTCAGTCTAAAGGGATTTGTCCTCAACTGTCTTGGGAACAGTTCTGTGTTTTCTCAGATGAGGCTACACTGAGAAGAGTTGTCTTAAAACATGTTTAGCAAAAAGTAAGTTTTCAATGGCATTACAAAGGTACTGCCGTTCAAATTATAAAGGCTTGTTCTGAGAAGGAAAAGGGGAATAAACTATAGTCAAATAAAAAATGCACAGAAGTTTTTTGTTTAAAGATGTGCACATTATAACTACTTCATAATGGTACCATCATCCAAGCCACTAAATCTGTCATTTATATTTGCCATTAAGTTTTAACTATGACTTAAGACAAGGAAATGGTTTATAATTCACCGCATCTGGTTCTTTCATCATTAAAAACTTGCACAAGAATTTGCTTTGCATATCATAGAATTTAGATTCAGAGACTTTTTAAAGAAAGCAAAATCTTAAGAGAGTTAGACTACTGAAAAACACTGTTCGGAAAGTACAGTGGGAAAAATACAGGTGGCAAGAGATTCAAATTCATTATACATGGGAGCTGAATACATACATTTATAGTAATGTAAAATATTAAGGTAAAATATTTGAATATAGCCATGTTTTCAAAATGTGAAAATTCCATAAGCTCTGTATTTCATATTATTTAACATTTTAAATATTATTCCTTTCCAAAGGTTAGTGTCATCTCTACTATCCTCCTCACCCTCCAAAACAAAAAAAAATACTATAAGCCTTGGTGAGAAGTAATAAAAAACAAAAAAATCTTTCCCAAATTAACTTCATGAATTGCTAAAAAAATGATTTACAATTTAAAACAAAGAATTTTTGTCATTACAAGATATCTATTCCCATTTCATCACATTTTCAACTGTTTTGATAGTGGGTTTATAAGTAACACTAGAAATCGCTTATAGCAAACTCAAGATTTTGAAATTAAAATCATTAACATAGGTGAAATCATCTAACTGTGGATCTTCAGGAGTAGTTAAAGCACAAACTAGTCTCAAACTTACCTTTGTGCTTGAGCGCTATAGCTGTTATCATAGGAATCATAACTCTGTTCATCATATGCAGTCCCATAACCATCATCATACTCCTGGAAGGATAGAAAAGAACGGCAACATTAACCTTAAGCACACCCTAGAAACAAGATATCAACCTACTTCTAAAACAGAAAGATAGTGCTTTTTTTAAAAATACTTTTGTATCAGAGAACACAGACAATGAAGTGGCAAAACCTTAATACTATTAATACTTAACTAACTCCACCTAAAAGGCCACCTAAACTTAATATATTACATATTTATAGCTAATTGGGAGCTGCTTGCTTGGAAAAACAAGGTATTTTTTAATTAAACACTATCCTTTGTTTTAATCAAGAAAACCACACTGGCAAATAAAATAAAACAAAACAAAACAAAACAAAATCAATGCAGATAGCCCTACATACTTAAAATTGTGACCTTAAAGAAATCTCTGTTGGGAATCAAAACATCCAAATAATATTGTCTAAGTGGCTTATGTAGCAGATCCTTAATTTCAGAGACAAAATTTAATATTTGCACATAGACTACAGGTGGGAAAGGCAATGAAATTGCCTAGAAATAATGTTTGTAAGAAACACATCTTTTATTTGTTTCTTCTGCCCTCTGCACTTATTTAAACTTGTGGCATTCAGCACATTATCTAAGGCACTACTGAAGTAAGGATTGCAATTCAGATCTTCCCAAAATATCACTAGAATTAAACACCAAGTTGAAACAAATCACATTAACTCCAGGTGCAAAGCTGTACAGGAATTTGAGCAAAAGGTAAATACTTGACAATGAAACGCGGAAATCCAATGAACTTACTTTATAATCTGACAAGAAATCCGATCTAAGTGGGTAAAACTGACGTTACCTKGTTATTGATCCTTAGAAGCGATATGACAAAGAATTAGGAAGCCTAAGCTAAACATCTCACAGGCAGGCCTTAGTGGATATCTGGGGTATTTCATTCAGTTTCACCAAATGAAGSGGGATATTTGGTGAAGATACTTTTCATTGGATTGAGTCACTTTTCAAATTAATCTTCAACTTACAAATTTGTATCTGGAACTAGAATAGTGTTTTCAGAATATGCATATGCCTAACTCCATCAGCTCCAACAGATCTCTTCAATAATGACTGAAAATTATAGAAGTATTGGTATCAGTAAGGCAAGGAATATCAAAATGATAGGTTACATGGTAGAAGACCACACCACCTCCAGTGATTCAAAACTGATAACTTCCTAGGTATCAGAAGGAAAGCCTTCCAYAGCAGGAGGACGCAAGGACATCCTTGAAACTAGAGAGATGAAGCTGCAAAATTTGTTGTCTTTAGAAGTGTTTTGGAGAAGGTTAAGACTTTAATAGTATTTTTCCCATCATCTGGAATTGCTCCTATGAAAGCAATTTCCTAGACAAGCTTCCATCAATACTACCCATACCACTGCCAGATCAAGAGATATGATTGTCCCAGGCAATGGTTAGCAGGAATATGTCTATGAGAGCTTGGATGCATAAATGAGTTACAGGATCCTCAATAGGCCTACAAAAAGAARCAAGCCTTGAATTAAATGCTTGTGAGGAAACCAAGGGAAGTGGTCTCAATTGAAGATTAGAAATCACCTTCCCTTTGAATAATTCATTGTCATGAAGCTAAGAATTAGGATAGTACTTCAGCATTTTCTCTCCTATCAGAKAAGGATATGAATTTTCCTTGAGCCACAGACGAAACCCAGAACCATTGCCTCCTGGCAGTTAGTAGGAACAAGCACTTTATTACTTATYGATGCAACACACAGACATCTGTTAACAGCACGGACATTGATGAACATCAATCTCAGAAAACTTGTTTGCTCTGTTCCAGAATATTTCCATGACATTTGGTCTCCTTTCAAGCAGATCTACCAACTGTGATCCATCCACTCATCCAAAACTTAGTATACACACATAGGTGATCAGAAGTACAGGATGGAGATCAACCTTTTCCCTTACATTTTAGAAAAAATTGCCACTAAAATATTCTTGGAGAACTAAGCAATCAGTCCTTTTATTCATGGTAATGTTAAATCTTTTACTAAAAAAAAATGTGAAATATAAAAAACAAAGAGATTACTCTGAAGCTGTGTTATACCTGACTTCCTACAGACAAAAAACAAAGGAACCAAGTAAACTTGAAAYAGGAACGGCCTTATTAGGCTCATAACAAAAGCAACAGAATGGAAGTAGAGAGAAAGCAGAGCTTTGAATAGAAAAATATTTGGTATCTAGCTTTAACAGGTAGGGTTCTTGCCACTTAGGTTTAACAAGATCAACCTAGGCTGTTGCTATTACCATAATCTGCTAAAGTAAAATWGTCAGTTCATCCAGTCCAAATACAGTACYTTTATATTTACACTTATAAAKTGTATATATAAAGTATAACAAGTCTATACTAAAAAAGYTGCAGGCAAAACAATGTAAAAAAAGAGCTGCTTTCAATGGCTTGTTCTACTAAGAGTTAAATGATTCAAATTCCAGAACATTTGCTACTATGAACAAGTCCCTTAAAATAACAATTATGCAGAGGCTGCTCAAGTAGGCTTCAGAGCTTGGTCTGACATACTATTTCCTCTCCATCATACAGTATTTGAAAACTTTCCCTTTTAGAAGGTTATAATAAGGTTAACTGAAGTATTTCAGAAAATTAAATTCCACTATTGGAATATTTCACTAAACTTGCTTCTGAATTACACATWTTATGGTTTCAATGAATGTTTTTTTTAACCTTACTTGGTATCTATGCAAAAATATTGCTCAATTGTCTGAAACATAATCCTATAAAATAYTGTGCTAACCTGAATGAAAATAGCTTTTGCTTTGCCATTTGTTTACAAATATAATAGAAGGTAAAGAAGAAAATTTCGCTATGGAAGAACTGTGCACAGTTATGTTCATCTCAGATAATTACTGACAGGCATAGTTAAGGTTATTTCCTTCTACAGAATACACAAATGGCACCTCCACATTTTTTTCTCTTTTGAGTTTCCAGCATGTGTTTTAGATCTTTATTTGGGCTTCCAAAATATCTAACTTTTTACTTAAGGTCATTTTTGTCATAAAGTTATACCTACCACATACAATATACTTGCTGCCTCCTCTCTCACAAAGTAGTTAGTAATCAATAAACAGTGAATAAGTAGTGAAGTTATTTGTTCTCGAAGTTCAAAAGAAATCCCCCAAATCATTTATCTTATGGAGGGAATAACTTGGTTTACATTGCTCACTATTTAAGACAATCCCTGAAAATCCTCTCATGAGATTTAGTCAAATATGTTTTAAAGCTTATGTTTATAATACATAAAGGAAAAAACGCATATACTGGTCTGGAATGCTAAAATGCTCTTAAAATGGCATGGCTTTTCCACAGAACATTTGAAACACCAAATATGAAACACCATAAATATGTACACTTGAAATGTATTGAAGGGTAAGTTACTATCACAGGTCAAAAGCTAACGAAAGCAATGAGAGAAGTCTTGGACCAAACTTCCACAACTAGCCAATACATTATAAATCATGGTAAGTCTTGCTTGTCTGAATTTCTTTCTCGTAATTAAGTACTTTAAACTTGCCCTTGTTCATGGAGAATAGGAAATGGTGGCTTTAAATTATAACCTTCTGGCAGTGACAATGACAGACTAGCATTTGGCCCTTCTTTAGGTGGAATTAACAATGTTTCAAAGAGAACAAGACAAAAGCAGGCAGAAAAGAGAGTAAGAAGTTCATTTTAACAAAAAGACCATTTGCAGTGCTGAGAAAGAAAAAAGCAAATCAATAAGAAATCAATTTCCCCATTCTCTTCAGCCAAGTAAATATATCCAAAGGAATAAAAATTAAGGCTGTTATCACTATTTTYTTCTTTTTCTTCATCATTCTCTGAAATTAATACTTAGAACAGTAGCTTATCATAGAACACTGGTGGAATGCCTTCTGCTAAGATAAACTATCATATCCAAAAAAATCTCTGTACACATAGACTGAGCAAACTGAAGGGGGGAGAATGAATGAGACTACATCAGCACAGTAAAGAATATTTTCAGTAAATTACTATTCTAAAGAGAAGGAATAGCCATTATTTTGTGTACAATAAACCTCTTCCCATAACTCAAATCAACAGGAGCATAGGGCAATCAGARCTACCACTCTCTAAAGTTTGAGTGAAAATGTTAAGGATTTGGGCCATAAATATGCACAGACGAAGCTCTTATTTCATAAATTTTCATGTAGTTTCATTTAGGAGCCTAATACACCTTCAAGTCAGAATAAATAAGAAAAGTAGAGCAGGAGAGAAGCACCAGTGTGCTTTATCCTCATGCAGATGTGAGAAAGAGAAAAAAGAGCAGCTAATGAATTCAGGCAGTCATACTTAAACCAGGTCAAAAAGTCTGTTCTTTTTACAAAGRTGGGAAAGAATCCAGAAGCACTTGTGTGCATCCCATAAGTGCATGTCACAGACGATCAGCTAAAATTACCAGTTTAAATAACCTGCAATAAATTGAGAAGAAAATAAAATTACATATAGGGTAAGTTTGAACTTCAAGGTAGTTAGGGGGAAGAAAATACAAAAAAAAAATCACTTTTCAACATTCCCTTTAGCAAAAGCTTTCTGTTCTTTTCACAGTCACAGAGATCCCTGAAAAAAAAAAAAACACAAAAAAAAACCCAAGATTTTTCAACTCTCCCCATTCAGAAATAGCGAGGAAAACGTAGAAGTCTGAAATAAAACTAAACAAATTGAGGGAACATTTAACTTCAAAACATTTTATTCTGAATTATTTTTGCTTATCCTACTCAGCTTGAAAGTTTAGTGAAAATATYATAAGAACATTGATACTTAAAAAAGTTATTACAATAACACTGGGTTAAACTGTTCCAATATTAAGAACTTCATTTCCTTTCCCATTTTAAACAAACACACTAACTGAATTCACCTCAAGTTAAAGAATAGCATTAACTCTTCCAATATTACAAGTTTCAATATCTCCACTAAAAAAGTTAAGTTAAAAGATGGTGCAGATTTTGCAAAG